TTTATTTTTCTACACAGTACTGATCACCACCTAATGTCATATTTATTTTACTTATTTGTCCTCCTACGTGCCCCCTAAACATAAATTCCATTGGTGTATAAATGTATAAAAATGCAAATTCAATGCCACTGAGTAGGAACCAAGTCATAGCTGACGCTCCAGCAGATTTCTGAGGCTGTAACCCTTCTCAGGAGAAGACTGCTCATCTTTTTCCTATGGAGTCTTGAGTGGATTTGAACTGTCAGAGGCACAGCCTTTGAATTAGCAGTGCAAGTTTCTATAGACTACTAAAGTTCCCTTGCACAGACTGCCAATCAATACTGCCCAAAGCATAAGCAGTCAGTAAGTGTTCCGTATGTGCATGCCAGAAATACCTTACTTAACATTCCACTCAACAAGCACTGGTCAGACTGAAGAACAGTAACAGTTCAAAAATTAATGCTAGGCTGCTCTGCATTAGGTATTCCTAAAGTCTGGAGGCCCCAGTAGAACAAGTGACTACAGTGTAACAACGTTTGGAGGAAGGAAACATCCTCTTGTGCCAAACCTGGTACAGCTCTGGTTAATATTAACTGATTAGGACAGGACTGCTAAAATTTTGAACCAACTCAGTGGTAATGTCTGTGGTTAGGAGATTAATGCTAGGAACCAAGAAATTTCCCTCCTTTCATGAAATAACACACCTGAAGCTTGATAGATGAAAACATAAACCAGGAATGCTTAAGATCATCTTTCACTCTAGACTTTTGAAACTTAATGCTTAATACTTAACTCTCTCTAAACTTTATCAATACAGTTGGCTTAGTAGATCTGCCTCTGTTTCAATGTTATGAAACTAGTAATCAATCAGTGGTATCAAGCCCGAGAAAAGAGTCTATTTGACAAGTAATGTTAAATTTCCCTACCATTCCACAGGAGAAAGGAGTGAGAGCCTTGGGGAAAATCCTTGAAAATTCTATGGGAAAGTTCCACTTTGTCCTGTGAGGCCACAGTGAACTGGAATTTATTTGACAGCAACAAATTTGGGTTAATGGAGTTTTTTCCCCTGACAAGTCAATCTGAAAGGAATGGATGGTCAGACATGATGTGTACTGCAATTAAAAAAATCTAGAACAGGACATTCATAACTGATCATATTGGGAGGAAAGGGACCAAAAAAAAAAAAAAGCAGAAGAAAGTTTACACACGGACAGAAAAAATAGTGGAGGGTTAACAGTAACAGGAGGAAAGAGGGAGGAGAGATCAGTGAGTGGACGGGGGTGGTGAACAGTGACTAGTGTGTAATACTCCACAACAATACACAATTCATGTCCTCTCTCATCATAATACTGAATGTTATTCTTAAATGCTTCCAAGTGCAGAGGGTAAAAAAAACACTCATTAAAAAAACAAAAACCTCATCATTTTGAACTTCTGATAATCTGTACTTTCTAAACTTTTATGTTTGTAAATTACTTATTCAATTTCCTTGTTCCATTTTTCTATTAGGTTGTTTACATAACTAAACAAATTATTTTAATAACTTAAAAGTTTATATTATGCTACTGATACAGCAATAATTCTCTCTCATCTGTCATTAATGTTTTAACTATGGCTCTGTTATTTTTAATTAGACTTGTATATCCTCTAAATTTCATATCTTTCTGCTTTGGGCTATTAAGTATCTGTTGTGATTAGAAATAATTTCCTCATTCGTAAGATTTTTTAAATATTCACATTTTCCCTACCATCTTCAGAGCTACATATTTTTACACTCTGCTAGTTTTATTTTGTGTGTGTAGACAGAAAATTAGGAGCAAACTCTCTCAATCTAGTTTACTAATTTTAAATGCTATACTTAATTAGGCATGCACCTTTATGGTCCGTTAAATTCTTACACGCATTTCAATCTGCTTCTAGAGTCTCTATTCTTCTCCTCTAATGTTCTATGCCAGTGCTAGACCAATTTACACCAACAGGAACAATACATTCCACCTAGTACATAAGAGGTTTTTTTCATTATTTTTCTTTTTTCCAAAACTTTTTGGGTTTTCTGGTATATGTATTCTTCCAGAGAACTAGAATCAACTTCTAAACTTATGTTTTTAGGCTCTGACTGTGAGTGCACATTTATACATTCATTTGGGGAGGAATGACATGTTAATAATATTAACTTTATCTTTTCTAGGGATAGAGTATGCATCTTTATACAGGCCTTAAGTTTTATATCGCTCAGAAAAGTTCTCTTATATCTTAATAAGTTGAACATAGCCTTTGCTACTAATTTTATTTATGTATGGGCCTGTTTCTCATTTGTATAATTTAAATATTCCATTAACTCTTGTGTAAAAGATTAGAATACCAGGTTTTCCTCCCATATTCTATAAAACTATAGGACTATCAGATGATATTTAAGAACTTGTACACCTCAAAAGAAGGGAGCTCTGGTGGCTTAATAGTAAGGAATTACACTGCCAAAATAAAGGTATACAGTTAGAATCCATGAGGTGCTCTGCAGGAGAAAGTTGGGGAATCTTTTCCTGTGCTATTTACTGGCTCTGAAAACCGGCTAGGGGGTCAGCTATGGGTCAGTTCTGATTCGATGGTACATCACCACAACCATCTCAGTAACAACATCTCAAAGAAGCTGCAATCCAAACAGAGCAAAGGAATACTATAAGGCTTAAAATCAAGAAAGGTGTGCTTTAGGGCTGTATCCTTTCTCCATACCTATTCAATTTGTACACTGAGCAAATCATTTGAGAAGCTGGACTTAATGAAGAATGTGGCATCAGCATCAGAGGAAGACTCATCAACAACCTGTATTGTGTGGATGATCAAGCCTTGCTTGCTGAACATGAGTGGGACCTGAAACATTGTTGAAACTACAGTCTTCAACATGGCTTACATCTCAACACCAAGAAGACAAAAATCCTTACCTGTGCTAATAGGCAGTATCATGATCAATGGAGACAAGACTGAAATTGTCAAGGATCTCATCTTATTTGAACCACAATCAACACTCCTGGTGCCATAGTCAAGAAGTCAAAAGACATACTGCATTGGGAAACTCTAATGTCAAGGGTCTCTCCAATGTACTAAGGAGTAATGATGTTAGTTTGAAGACTAATGTGTGGCTAATTCTTTTCAATCACTTCTAAGCTTAGGACAATGAATAAGGAGGGAAGAAGAATTTTTAAAAAAGAAGAAGAAACACCTTTAAAGTCATGGTTTTAGAGAAGAAAATATCCCATGGACTGCCTTGGGGGAAGCGTGACCACAGAGTGCTTCTTAGGGGCAAGGGTGGTGAAGCTCCATCTCACATACTCTTGGCATGTTCTTAGAAGGAGCTACTCCCTGGAAAGGGACATCATGATTGGAAAGGTGGACGGTTAAGTAAAAGAGAGGAAGATCCTCAACGTGATCGCCTGTCACAGTAACTTCAGCAATGGACAGGGAAGTATTCTTAGCAAGTCTGCTCTCATCTCACACTGACTCAAAGAGGAGCACACACCCATGCCTAAAATAAAGATAAGGCAAGAGGGCTGGACTCAGGCCAATGTGATTTATCTTCTGGGTCCAGTCAGGGTTCTGTTAGGAATAAGGCTAAGGGTGTAAAGGGTTTTTCTAAAGGTAACAGAGAAGTCAAGAGCCTAGTGAAAATAAGCCTTTCCTCCTCTTCCCCTAAGGCAATCTAACAATCTTTAAGCAGCCCTGTGGGTTGTATCTCCTCCCTGCCCTCAGCAGCCCCTCACAGGCAATGAGTGACATCTGCTATAAAAAGGTGTAGTTCATTATACGAAAAGGCAGCGTTTTTGCCAAAGGGAACACAAAACAGAGTCTCTGCATTTCACAAAAGTTTAATTTGTCCACTGACTCATATATAATTCAATTAAAGTCTGTGGTGTCTTCCTGAAAAGTATATGTGCCCTCAAGCAATTTTGGATTCAGTATCTTAAAGCTGTCTTTCATAAAATGAGTTTTTAGGAAACTGAGAGGAAAATTTTGCATAACTGCTTATAAAAATTATTATACAGAAAAGTTATCTTTCTAAAAATTCTCTACAGATAATCTAAAATGTTAGTAATTATGTATAAAAGAGTTAAAGAATATATATAAAAAAACAGATGGACAAATATAGACATATTTATATACCAGGAGCTGTGGTGGCCTAGTGGTAAGAAGCTGTGCTGCTATCCTGGAGGTACATAGTTCAAAACTACCAACTCCTCCATGAGAGAAAGATGGTCACTCTCCTCCAAGGTGATTAAACTGCCTCTGAAAATTCACTGGATGGTCAGCTACGAGTCAGTTCTGACTTGACGATACACAACAACAACAATGTAAATGTCTACTTATCAATCCATCATCTATCTGTATGTATGTATTCTCTTTTTCTCTCTCTCCCTCCCTTTCTTTCTCTGACAATGAACTGGCCTCATCACTTTCTTCAGAAACCGCTATCCAAAGTGGTAAACTAAGAATATCTTGGTTTGAGGAAAAAAATTAAATAATTACTGATTTCTTTGAAAAGGGACATGGTGACAGAAATGCTGAAATAAATGTGTCAAATTACTGACAGTGGTTATTTCTGAAGTAGAATTATGGTAAGGTTTCATTTCCAGCATTATACATATTTTTACTGTTTGAATTTTTTTTAAAAAAAATAAGCAAATGTTACTTTCAAAGCCAGCAAAAAAATGGGTATTTTAAATTTATTAAAAGTATTTCAACTTCCTAATGAATCCTTAAGTAAAGCCATTTTTCTATTTCATTACCTCCAAAAAACTATTACTTTCTTAAGAATTTTTCCAAATGAAAATTCTTAAATCTAGATTTTACATTTACAAGTTGGAAAAAAACAAAGACATTGTTTGGATGAAGTATTTTAAAAACATTACTTCTCCTTTTTATGCCATAATGTTGTATTACTATTCTTTTCTAACATCATAAAAAAAAAAGTCTTGATACAAACTAAAAAATTAGGCAGGAAAAGCAGTTCGAGCACCTTCATCACTTACAATTCGATTTCAACCACGCCTTTCGAACAGCCCCGCTTCACAAAAAAGCCAACCTAAGACAAAAAAGAAAAAGTCAGGTATATGATGACATTCCTGGGTTAACAATCAGAGATGTGTGAAGTTACTCATTTGTAAGCGTCAGATTCTTTCACTAACTTCTCTCTTTGCCCTTTCTCCTCTCCTATAAGCCGTGGGCCCATCCTGGTGCAGCAATGGTAAAGCATTCAGTTGCTAACAGGAAGGTTAGGAACTGATCCTATCAGCTGTTCTGCAGGGAAAAAAAGACTTAGCACTTTGCTCCTGTAAAAACGAGAGCTATTTCTTATAATATGCAACCAGGATGAGTTGAAAACCAATTTGATGGCATCTAACAAGTTGCTTCCTCAAAAAAAAACCTTCCCAACAATAATCCTCAATACCCAGCTAACTCACTGGCATTGGTTGGAGATGATTCAGCTACAAGAGACAAGTGCTCATCTCAGTCAATGCAATTGCTGATAGGTGTGAACCACCAGAGGCACCGTCCTGGGGTTCCCAGCACAGTTTCCTACACACTATTCCACCAGAGCTCCCTACACACTGTACGTCAGAAGTGACTCACAGCTGACCCTCCAGTGCATTTTCCGAGGTAGTTAATCACAATAGAGACTACCTATCTTTCTCCCATGAAACAGTAGGCAGATTTGAATCAATTATCTTTGGGTTAAAGTACAACTATTTACCACTATGCCACAGAACTTCCTTACAATATTACTAGCTATCCTTTATTTAATGGCACGGTGGTGACCCTGATGGCATAGTTCACTATGTACCGGACTGCTCGTCAAAAAGTCTCCTCCGGTAAAGATTTACACTTTGGACACTTGATGGAGGGTCACTGTCAGAACCAATTTGAAGACAGAAAGTTTAGTTGGGTGTGGTCATGTATTAGGCAGTTAGCCACTTAACAGAAATGGCGATAAAGCAAATGCACAGCAAAAATGTCCAACTAGGTAATACACCTCAGTGTTCCATTCCATTCTCAACAGCAACTATTAACAATTCACCTTGAGCTGGTGAACTTAACAACTACATTAATCTTTCTCAGAGAAGTGATAAAAAGAGTCCATGGAAAAATGGGTCCTACTGTGTGATCACCAAGATGACACAAACCTTTCAAGTATTAGTGAAGAACTGACTGGTATGTCAGCTCATTTTCAGCAGTGGTATCATAACAACTTACATTGTAATATAGAGTATGTGAGCTAGTTTCTGTGTAAATGAGAGTAAGCATGGAAATGTGCTGCAGGTCTATTCAGATTAAATTTTAAATTGGCTATAAGTAATTTTTAAAAAGACAGTACTAATATGTTTTTAAAATGCAGTATCTGTGACACATAAAGTGAATGATAATAAAAAAATTTTAAAAAATACAAAACACAACTTAAAGCAAATAATTATCTTTTTAACAGAGATGATAGTGAAGATGACAATTACAACCACAGTAACTAATATTACTTACTAAATGCTATTGTAAATAAGAATTGTAAAGGCCAAGGTCATTTAATAGCAATTAAAATTGCTATGCATCAGAAAGCTGAACAATGACTAAGGATGACAGAATTGATGCCTTTAAGCTATGATGCTGGAGAAGAGTATGGAACACACACACCATGGACCACCAAGAGAACAAACAGGTCTGTCATAGAGAGGGTGAAACCAAGTTTCTCCTTGAAGGTTAGGATTTTTTTTTTATTATTTTAATTTATTTATTTTTCATTTCAATGAACATCTACAGAGATTTTGGAATTCCATTCATTCATTGTTGCACCCTTCTCC